ATTGTTTCAAAACATGTTGATTTCCCATGTTTCTGGAGTTTATTGAATGCATTTGGGTTGCAGCTTTCATGAAATTGTAATTTATCAAAAGCACAATGAAGAATCATAGGCCAAGTTTCTGAAGCTCAAATTTAAGTTAGGTCACAGGTAGAATAAAAGTTTAAAGATCTCTACCAACAAGGACATATATTTCCCCATGAGAAACTTCTTAGTTTGAGTGATATTTTCAGTGTTACTTTTTTTCAACAGATGTAACTTTTCCAAAGAAAGCAGACGTGTTCTATAATAATGTCAGCCAGCCTCTGAGTTTCTCAGCAGTACAATTTCTATTCATTGTTTTGAGCCAACCCACAGGAGAAGCTAGACACATTGTTCTGTGTTTATAAATAGGTCTGTTTTCAAAAAACTCTTTCTCAAGGAAATTGCTCTTAATAAATATGTAGTACTTTCACTTATTACTTGTATTATAAAAAGAGAAGGATCCTGCATGGATCAGAGCCCTGCTATGCTAAGGGTTAATAATAAGACAAATCTTACCCTGAAGAAACCTCATCTTTTGAGTTTGCTCCAGGTCTCTGCAGTCCCTGATTGTCTTACACCTAACTCCAAATTAATCATCCCCATCCCTCTGTTGAGTTCCTAACTTCTCCATTCCTCACAATATCGTTATCCTTATGAGGAAAGGCAGCATTATTAACCCTGTGTTACAGATGGGGACTTGTGGTGCAGAGGTGAAATGTCATGCTGAACGTTGTCTGAACCAGAGCAGGGGGTGCATATCCACTCTTGCCCTAAGAGCAGCACCCTGACTGCTACGCTTCCATTCAGCTGGTCCTCTGATAGTATTGCATTTTTATTCATTAATTTCCCATTGGTCAGTCTATGAAAGAAAACTCACAGTATATTATCAGCTGGTTACACAAGGGAGCTAAAACATTTAGCTGCTATAAGTGCACAAAGGGTGAAAAATAAAGTTAGTAAAAGTGAATGAAGAGAAAAAGTGAAGGGCAGGAGCAGTATAGCTGCCAAGGAGTCGTGGGAGGGTATGGAAAGGAAACTGAAGCTTCAAGCTGACCCATAAAACTCCATGGTGTTACCAGCAACCTCACTGAATTCACCTTCAGAGATTGTGTTTTGCAGTAACCTTCATTGACACCTGCCCACTTTATTTCTGTGGCCAGCCAGAAACCTTCCTACCTCCCTTAACCACAGCCTTCCACACCAGGGTCCCTGCAGTCAGCCCCCAGGCTCTGCATGACTCACCCCCTCTGCATCTCTGCAGACACTTGCCTGAGCTTTCTCAGCTTCTCATGGCAAGAATAAAAAGGCAAATAAATGGGGTTGCATGATGACAGGGATCAGATCTTCTGTTTTGGGACAGGATCCAGAACCTCTTTAGGGGAGCTCAGCTCATGCTGTGCCTCCCTGCTTAGACCTGGCTAGCTGGGCAGGAAAAGGAACATGGGTAACACAGAAAAGACCACACAGAGCCCAAGCTCTCCCACTCCTTGTTCTTTCAGTGTGAAGAACCCCCCAAAATGATGTTTTCCTCCACAAGGAAATGCAGTGCTACCTTCATTATCAGGTGGGAAATCAAGAGAGTCATTTGTTAAATGACTTTCCCAAATGTCACACTAAGGGCTGCAGATAAGACTTGCTTCACTTTTCTGAAAGACAGTGAAGTGTTGACTTCAGTACACTGCTCCTCTCAGCTCCTGCAACTGCCTCTGCAGTCATGGCAAGAGTTAGTCTGAGTCCACCAATATCTCTAACACGACATCAGTAGAAATCTCAGTGAAAACCCTGTGGGGTAGGAATCCTGCCCCCGTGAATATTTGAAGAGGATGCACGTTAATTAATGTCTTCCCTGTCAGGAGTGGGCAATGAAGTTAGCACCAAATGAGCAATATGCAAACTCAGCCTCAGAGGTACACAAGATGTCTGGTACAAATTAAACATCAATTCTCAGAAAATATCCTCTAGACATCCCAAGGAATAAGTTTCTTTAGGGTCTCAGTTTGTAATGGAGGCTGTTTCCTTTAAAGCAAAAGATTTGCCTTATATACTGCCTGAAGTTAGTAATTGGCAGTTTTCCAACATAAATCCAAAGGATTTCTGATTGGCCTGTTCATTAATAACCAGAAAGTAAGAACAGGATTATGCTTATGTTACCTTTATCTAATGCTACTGATAATTTCTCAATGGGTTCAGAAACCAGACACTTCAGTGACTTTTATCTCATGAGCCAACTCTTCATGCAATGTCTGGGTCTGCACTGGCTGATTAGAATATAGCCTGCATGCTATTGCAGTAAGGAATTGGTTTGAGGGCTGGATGATACCAGTTTCTAAACCATTGAACCTGCAGGAATAACAAATTTATCAATTTTCTGGAAATTACTAATGGTTCACTCCAACAATCACCTGCATTAGCCCAATCTAGTTGTGAAATTCTAAAAGGGAAAGAAAAAAAATCACATTTAGACTGAGAACAGTCAGGACTGGATGGTTCACAGTTTGGCAACCAGCTCACAAAGGCTGTTGCTGCCATGTGAAATTCATCCTCACTGTGTTGTGGCTATGCAGGACAGTGTTCCAGTAAGTACTCCATGGCATATGCATAGCTCACTGCCTGCACAGAAAAAAAATCAGGGAATATTTCATCTGTGACTGTTCTCCATCCTGAAAGGTGACAGCTTCATGAAGGTGGGTTACTTGTAACAATTCCAGCTTCCTGCTGTGAAGTGTAATAGAGGCTTTCTTTTCTTTTTATGCTTCTCTAGGTGCAGGGGCTTTAGACCACGTCTGCAGACAGCAAGTCTGGAGTGTTTTCCAAGATGGCAGCATTTTTTGAGACACAATGGACATTTTTTGTTTCAAGGCTGATTAGATTGTGCTGATCACACACACTCAAAAAATCACTTTTTACAGGGGTTTGTGGGCCTTTTCCATTGCTTCACGTCACAGTGAAGCCACCAGTGGCTTGGTCACGAGGCTGTGAGGTCTCAGGGAGGGACTGTGTGTGCAGCACAAAGGAAGCTGGGTCTGATCTGACTTTCACAACTTTCTTCTGCACCTCAGAGGCTTTGTATATTCAGTGACTCCAATGCATTCAGTAGAAATGATACTTCATTTTGTAAGATGAGCTGATTCAAGGTCTTGATGGCCATAAGTGCTGTGAGGCAGATGCTGATGAATAAGCTGGGGCTCTGTCCAGGCTACTGAGATTAGCACAGCTCGAGGGATAGGCTAAGCAGGCAGCCACCCACAGGACCAAAGAGTGTGAAAAGCATCACAGCTCTCCTGCCCACACTGTCTGGAGAACAATGTGGAGGGGAGGCTCAGGACAGAGGGAGGTGGCAGCTACTGCTGAACCACCTCTTGGAGCAGCAAAATTAGGGGCTGGCACGAGCTGCAAATTAGCTGATGGCACCAGCAGCAATGTGGATTAGAGCACTGAGAATGCTCTGCAGGAGCGCTTGGTAAATGCTGCCTCCTGCAGAAATGACAGGGAGGGCCCATGCTAAGCATGAAGTGGGGATGAGGCACTGGGACAACTTTCCTGCCCAGCACACTCTGTTTTCATAGACAGATGTCCAAAAACCAAAGCCAGAGGCAGAAGGATGGAGGAACTCAGGGCTGGACAAGAGGCACGACTGCTCCTTCAGCTAATCACCCTTATCACCAGCTAACACAGGGATGCTGCTGTCTCCTTCCTTCAGTGGCACTAACAGCCCCTTTTTCCTGCAGGTATCTGGAGTTTGTAGCTGTTGTGGGGAGGAGGGTAGGGTGGGGTGTGTGATAGTATTTTTCACTTGTAACACCTAGCAAATTATGGCATCAACAAAAAACAGAGCAGTGGGCCCTAGGTACTCGTTCAGTATTTGAGTTCCTCCCGTCCTCCTGGGCTGTAGGATTATTCTGGGCTCTGAAATGGAGCCATATGGGAAGCCAGGAGGTGTCACACACGAGTCACTTCACAGACTTCAATCAGGAATGTTTCCAGCAAAAGGAAAATGTGTTAAACTCAGCCGTTCTCACAGTCTGACAGCTCCTGATGTTCATGTCAAGAAATTAATGCAAAAAAAATGTGCTCTCTCTGAACAGAGACATAACAGCCAAATAATTAATAAGAGCTCGCACAGCACATCTTGTCCCTTCCCCATGCAAGGAATGCTCAAGGCCTTGAATTTTTGAAAAATGAAAACTCAAGATATTGGCTCCCTTTCTGCCTTTCCCCAGGAAGATTTTTTTGTAATACATAATAAGCCCACTTGCAACACCACCATGCCCAGTTAGCAGAGCTGTTTGACTAACTGCACTGGGTTTATTTGAGGGGAAATCAGGGCACTGAGGTGAAATAGCTTCAGTTCAAATAACAGTGTTCTGCTCATTGGAAATAGTTTAATCAAGGAAGGAGGCACTGCCACTAACATCACCCGTTGGTTTGTGTAGGTAAGTTGTGACCTGTAGTGAAATGAGGCAATAAATGCTATCACAACCAACTCTTCTGCCTGTTTTGAAGGCTTTGCTATCAAAAAGAAAGAAAAACAGGAGAAAAACAAAGAATCAAGATGCACCAATGGGGGCTTCTCAACAGCACTAGCAGAAACTAGTGACAGTAATATGAACAAGGAGCCAGCACTGGTAGCCCTTGGCATGGGGTGTGAGAGATGGAGGGAAGAGGCTTATCTCCTGCTGGGCTTGCACAGGCCTGGTGGGAGGGCGAGAAGAGCAGCTGGATGCAATACCAGGAAGTGCAGTTCCCGCCACCTCTCCCATCCATCCCATCTACACCAGCATTCTCCACTGCTGGAGCCACAACTCTGCCAGCCCAGCCACGCCAGGCACCACAGGTACACTCCCACACCTGCAACTTTCCCGGGGTCCTCTAGCGCAGGACACTGACAGCAGAGCCCCGTGACACAAGCATGGGCAAGCCAGGGTGCATCACCTTGCTCCTGGGCATCAACCCCCTGTGCAGTCACTCAATGTACCTACCTGGCTGAAGGCAGCCATGGCTTGCTCAGACCTTTGCTGAATAAGAGCGATGGCGCTGAACACCGGCGGGAAGGAACAGGCTTGAGGGGCTGAAAGCAAGAATAAGTTTGTCATCAGTTTCCATCCTACAGCAAAGCTCCCACAAAGGTGAGGGGTTTGAGTACTTATAGGAGTCATGGCTACAAATTGTCTATGGGAGGAGAATATGTGTTTGTGCTCTTAACTCCTGGATGTTGCCAAATTTCCCCTCGAGTGTGAAGGCTCCAAGCCCCACGGTGGTCGGCACAACAGCTGCTGTCACACAGGGCCATCTCAGCTCGGGAGGTGCACAGCCACAGCACTGGGGACAAAGCCCTGGGGCCACCAGCTGAGGCACCCCAGCAGGTGTCACTTGGGGCAACCTCAGCACCAGCATCTGCACAGGGGCTGCTCAACCCAAGCTCCTTTTACAGGGAGTGGGGAGACATGGACACTTGCAGGGCACCAAACTTCCCTCCCCACTTCTGCAGCAGTCTTGGGAGAAGAGGAGCCATGTCCTTTCCCAGACGTGCCCACTTCTCTGTCCTGACTGTAAAAGGCCCTTGGACCAAAAGGGTGGGATAGAGACCTCCACACTCTGTAATGCAGGGTGAGAGGAGGCTGCACTTGGTGAGCCCAGCACGCAGAGGCAACCAAGCTGGTTCCAATTAGAGGTGGGTAAGCTGCCTCCTCCAAATCCACAGGGAAGCTCCCAGCCTCTTGAAAATCTAAAATCCCTGCAATCTGTGCTTTGGGACAGCAGGTTCTGTGTGGCTGCCTGCCATCTGAACACAAGTATGAGTGCTAAGGAAAGAGGCTATTTTAGGAACAAGTGACACAACAGAGGAACATCAGAGGCAAGAAATGGCTCCTTGCTGCCAAGTGTTGACATGAGGCCAATAAAGGGCAGGTTACTGCCCTTTTGGGAGGATGCCTGTCTTATTAAAGTTGTAGTTACAGAGTTTTTTTGAGATACTTGGAAAGCAGGGTGATATATTTACAGAGAACTTTCTGAACATTTGGCCTTATTAACTGAGTGGAAAAGGAATGATTAAAAACACCATCTGCTTTTTATTGAACTTTGTTCCAATTTCATGAGAATTTAATCAGCTTTAACCTCTAACTCTCAATTTTTACTCCTGAAAGTATGTTAGCAGCATACCACCCCATGCAGTACACAAATGGCAATCAAGCCCTGCTGGGGATGTCTGCAGATCTCCTCTACCATGATCTCACCAAGTCAGTGCAAACCAGCCCAGCACAAAGGGCAGGCCCCTGCACCACATGGAGCAGAGCTGGAGGCATCGTGTGCTCCCTGAAGGTGTCTGAGACCCTGAGAAGGGTGACCGGGAACCCAGCTGAGGCCACCCCATGGTGCCATGGCCCATGTAAGCCAAGAAAATGCAGTTTCCCAGAGGAGATGGGTGATGTTCCCCATTATTATCAGCAGAAAAAAGTAAAGCAGCAGCAGGAGAAGTCACTTTGCTCTGGCTGCAGGGAAAAGTGCCGGCATGCATGGCCATGGAGCTGCAGCAGCCCTGCACTGGGATACTAGAAAACCACATCCTCCTGGCAACAGTGAAAGACAGGAGAGATTTGTGTATTTACTCCTGGTTTATACCAGTTTGACACTGGTATATTTATCCCAGTGTATGTATGTGGGACCTTGTGTGACAGGAGTAGGTGACACTGCTTCATGCCTGCAGGGGAGCTGGTTTCTGAAGGCAGTGCTTATTCCCATGCCTGCACTATCATGACCCTTGTTGGTGTCTACCTTTGACAAATACCTAAATATATGCAATCTGAAGTCAAAGAAATGAACTTTGAAATCACTAATTACATATGTTATCAGAGCATCAAGTCTCTTCTAGGTATTGACTCATTATTACCAGAAGTTCTTCTGCAGGTGCTGCTCAACAAAAGGTCAGTACATGACAAAGCCTATGTTGTTCTGACAGCAGTCACTGCTGAGCTCATGGAATTAAATGTGTTTTGGAGAAAGGTTATCCTTCTAAGATCATCTTAAGATGTTGTAGCGTGTTGTCTTCATGTTTGAGCCCACTGGGATTCTGGCTGGGGGAAGTCCTCTAGCTCCAGTTGAAATACCATATGCATGGGAGGCATGGTCTAGTCATCATTGGTTTTGCAGTATCAGGATAAAACACCAGCCTAGTGATAAAGCAATGGAAATAGCTGCACCCTCCAGGCTAAGTGAGGATGAATCCTGACTCAGGCAGAGGCCCATTTTCTCCCCACTTTATTCCCTTGTATTCTGAGCTCTGACCACACCAGCTTATAACACCATCAATGCTGTCTGTCATCCTGCCTCCTTTTAAATCCACAAGGACTGCTCAGTGCAGATTCCCAAACAAAATGCCCTTGGGAGGGCAGACACCAGTTTCTTACTCTGGTGCAACATTTGAGAGGTTGGCCAGGACCCTTTTCTGAGCCCACCTAGGACCAGCCAAAAGGTACTGTCTGTGCAGAGCAGACAGGGAATGCTCAGGGAAATGCAACCCTGCTGGCACCCACCCAGAGTGGGCAGGGGGGTTACAGCTGGTGGCAGCAGGATGCTCAGGGTGCCTGGATTGATGTGTCACAGGACAGCAAGGAAAGAGCTCTGCACTGTGGGGAAAAGTTTTGTTCCTCTCCCCAGATCAGTGTAAAGCAAATTATTTCTGTTACTGCTATTCTTGTGTTAACTCTATTCTAGTATTACCACAATTTCATCTACCAAATGCATATAGACAAGATTAAATAAGCTGTGTATTTCAAGTGATGTATGTATACACATGCACACTTTGACATAAGTGAAAATATTGGATCTGATGTTCCTCCTCTCACTCCAAATACAAGGGATTTAATATTTGATTTATTGAACAAGGTAATGTCATGTCATGAAGAACAACTTTATTCCCCAGTGTTGCTGCTGCTTTGGTGGAAAAAAACTATGTGTGATTTTTACCTAACACTGCAGCAGATGCAGAGAGGACAAATTAACTTTGCCCTGTGTTCCAAGACCTGGGAGAATTTGAACACAGTTATGTCAGTATTCACTATCAATTACATCATACTTTCTCTCTTCAGGGGGTTTCCTCCACCTAACAGAAATCTTTTTTTGCCTAACAGAGGATATCACAGTTTCTGCCACAAGTTTAGCTCCAGCCCTTCTTACTCCTGCCCGTGACCTGTTCTCATTCTGAGACACACAGTAAATAATGCAAGGATGTCATCTGCAGATGGCAGAATTCAGGAGCGCTCACTGGGAGCCATTTGCTCCAGGAAATCACCTACATCCACCATGCAAGGGCTTCACCCCAGGCAAAGGCTTCATGCCAGGCACCCACAAGGAGATCTGCCTGAAGACTCCACCATATCTAGAAAAACAGCGGGGAAAGTCTGAAAAGTATCCCAGTGCTCTGCACATTGTAGTGGGGTATAGATTACCGAGGGTGCACAACAACCCTTGCATCGAATTATTTCCTTTTTGCAACTGACACAAAAATCAAACCTTCTTTATTATCTCAAAGCAGTCCACCAAAAACCCTGAAAATCCAGAGTTCAGTCATCCTTCTTCAGATGAGCTAACCATATCCTGCTGGTTTATAGGCACAAATGCATTGCTTGTCTCCACTCATTCAGAAAGCCTTTCAAAGTGTTATACATGTCATCTGAAGAGATTTTTGGGTGGCCAGCTTCTTCAGCAAGTAACAGCCAGCACTAGCTGAAAACCAATGCCATTTCTAAAACCTTGGACTTCTGTTTCTTTATGACTTTTAGAGATGCCCTCACATCTACTAACATACTTTTACAGTCTTTAAGGAAAAACAAAAAGGCTCTTTACCCTCTTCTACCACAATAGGTGAGAGTCTTTGTGAAAACAGCAAACTCGTGACCTTCTTCTCCTGAAAGAATCCATCAATGGCAGGAAGACTGAATGTGAACATCAGTTCGCTTGAAGTGATCACTTCAAAGCCCACATAATACCAAAAGCAGAAGAAGAGAGGACAGCCGGGAGGATTTCCAGGAGGTGTGGTGGCAGGTAAACCTGCCTTTCCTCAACCAAGTTTTCCCAGGGAACACAATGAAATTCCCAGGGACTCTCCCCAGTCATGTCATGTACAGGCACATGCAGAGGAGGCTGGGACAGGGGCAGTTGTGACCACCTCAGCAGATGAGGCTGCCAAAAAGGGGAGGAAAAGGGGCTCCTGAGGGTAATGAGTAGTTTAAATGACTTTTTTCCTTGACCTCTTCCCAATTTTGTCTCTCATCTGAGGTCACTAGCGAAGAGGTGACAAGAGGTGTGAGGAGGCCATCCAAACACTCTTCAAGACATTGGTTTTGCTGCACTGCCAAACCGCCTGCAGATGCTCCTGGTTTCATGGCTCAGGATATGCTTGTGGGAGCCAGTGCTGCTCATCTTGAGGCAGGGCTCTGCTCCTACTGGGAACATCCCTGGATGCTGCTGCCTTGAAAAGGTTGAGCATGGCAGTGCTATTTGTCATGGGCTAAAGAGGGTTCAGGGCTGGCTTTAACAGTTTATGTGTGATATTATAATTTATACAGATTTTAGATAATTCTGCTGCAGTGCCAGGCAGCACTCTCAAATGCTTCTTAATCCATTAATGCAGACAAACCCTGAGTGGTGCATGCACTGGCGATTTCTGCAGTCAGCCCCACTAGCTGGCATTTCAGATGAGCAGCCCTCTGTGAGTATTTCCTAGTGGCACACAGATGGGTGGCATTGTCTTGGTCCTTTGTCCTTCATGGACCAGGGCACCTCTGTACCCCCCGAGGATCTGTTGGGTGCTCTGCTGCCTCACTGCCCCCAGCAGTACCCATGAGAGCTGCCCCATGGATATTCCCTTAGGAATTTGTTTGGCTCAGTCAAGCTGCCTGGGAAGGAACTTACAAATACATGCAATAGGAGGATTTCTGGTCTTTGCTGTATCAGTGAGGGCAGAGTGGTCCCTCTGAAATAAGCAGCAGCACCCAATTTAAACTAACCATCCCTAGGTGTGGGTCCAGGCTTACACAGAATAAACCAGACTGGAATTTGCCTTTATCTGGTCCACAGTAAAACTCTTTTCCAAAGCTACTTTGTGCCACTATCATCACTCAAATCAGCACAGTTACTCTGGGCTTCTAACAACACAGCAATAAACAGATTTTTGTCGAAATAGGTTTAAAAGCTGACAGCCTGGTTATGGGGACTGATGAGATTTCCTTTATTGACTGTGCAATCAGTGTGATTTCGAGTCTCCACAGGGGCCCTGCTGAAGGCTGTCCAAGACCCAGCTGTGACAAACCCCCCCCACAAGTTCTGCTGGGCACTGCTGCTGGAGACAGCGGCTGTGGTCTGGGACCTTGTTCCTCCCCCTCATCTTCCCACCCTCCTGATCCTGCCTTCCTGGTGTCCTGACCTCCCACGGGGCCAGTTATTTGTCTGGCATCACACCCCTGCCTTCCAAGGTAATAAATTACTGCGGGAAGCAGCTTTGCACTGGCTCTCATTAGCCACAAACCCTGCCGTCCCTTTTCCTGGCGCACCATGCAATCCGTGACTATCGGCAGCACATACACATTTCTCAGGCTCCCAGGAGAACCCACAGCTCTGTGGCAGATGGTGCACCGGGCTGATGGATGCACAGGGCTGGGGAAGCAGGTCACCCTCCTTGCCCCTTGGGATCATGTCCCAGCACAGCCTGGCCCTCCTTGTGATGTTCCATTCCTGTGCCATTGCAAGGGATTTGTGGATGTTGTTAATATCCACAAAAGTGGGAGGTAAGGTGAAGAGCCTTTTTTGGTACTCTCTTTTTCCATTTTCAGAGGCTACTGCTATTCTGGAATAACATCAGGCTTAAGCAAAATACATCCACAAAACTCAAAGTGAAGTGTCAAAGCGCAGCAAAATGGATCTATGTCCATGCTATAGGTGCAATTACTGGGACTGTGTTATGTCTATAAAAAATAGCAATATTTTTCAATGTATATTGAAAGATTACTTTTCAATAAAGCTAAGTAAAAATTGATCTTGGCGCCACCAGCATCCCAACATTCTCTGCTAAACAATCACCTACTCTTTTATTTTTATTTCTTGTCTACTTTCTTACCAGAAACAGAAAAATAAAGAGTGGTTTAAAAGAAAGAAATGGGAAGAAGAGAGAGAAAAATATGCATATCTGAAACTTTCTTTTTTTTACAATGTTCCTGCAAACAACTTTGAAGAAAATGTAACTATTATTTGTTTCTCTTTTCTCCTCTTAACTCATTTTTGTTTTGGTTTAGTTTTTTAATGTAAACTCTTTCTTATTGTATAAAAAGCCCATTTCTGCTAGCGGCCCTCATTCTGAAGAGCAGGAGGAACAATGGAAAACCAGATCAGTTGTCATGTAAAATGACAAACTTTTATATTTGGAAGCACTGAAGCTACCACTTAAGATCCACACATCTCTGTGTAAAGGTAAACCCTGCAGAGAGCCCCTCATTTTTTGCAGAAAAGTCTATATGTCAGAGCTGACAATGTCATGAAGAAACGTCACTATTCAATGCAGAGATTCAGTCCTCAGCAACATTCTTTTTGTTTTCCAGCCAGCACCTCGCTCCTGTCTGAGGTCAGACTAAATGATGTAACGCTCCCCTCTGGCCCCGCAATCGATGGGCCGGTGGCCGGGGCTTCTCTCCCTGCTGACAGCAGCGTTCGCTGCAGCTGAGACCCCCCCGGGGACCAGGCTGTGGTCCTGGGCTCACACGCACTACCAGGTGCTATGGGACAGCGTTCACAGCATGATCTAAAGGGAAACGTGTTTCTTACAAAGATGTTAAACCTCTCCAGAACAACAAAACCAACAAAAAACATCTTAAACTCTTCCCGTCACATGGATATAGCCAAGAAACCCACCAGCTTTATTTTAACCAACGTGGCTGAGTAAATGTTTGTTTTGTTTGTTCTGTTCTTCAAGACTCTGCTGCCCTAACACGGTGCCAGAGCAGTTTGACAGTGCAGTGACATCGCCAAGCACTCTCTTTAAATCCGATTTCTGGCAAGAAGGGAGTAACTGCAAGTCGACCTGTCCTCTGCTCATCTGACCCTGCCTCCACCCGGCTCCCGTGACCCCTTTCTCGGGATGAGGAGAGCTCTGCGCTGCGGGGCAGGGACCACGAACCCCTCTGAGCCCAGCAGTCCGGCACCGGCCCCGTGCCCCATCTCCAGTCCTGGGGTTTGCTTGTCACCAGGTTCGGGACCAGGCTCAGACCCCGGCAGACCCTGAGCTGTCTCTATGCCCAGGTCACCCGCGGCAGCAGCAGCCGCATCCCCTCTCACGCCCGGCAAGGAGCGCGGCTGCCCCGGCGCTGCCCGCCCCGCTGCGCCCCGCACTCACCGCCTCGGGCGCGGGGTCCCCGCTGCCGCCGCCCGCCCGCGGCCCCGGCATCGCCCCGGGAGGCGCCGGCTCCGGCTCCGGGTCCGCCTCGGGCGCGGAGCCGCTGCGAGTGAGCGGAGACCCCGCGCCTGCCGCCCCCGGCCCTCCCCGCCGAGGGAGGAGCCGCCGCCGCCCGCAGCAAACCCCGGGGGTCCGCGGGCAGCGTTTGCAGGATAAGGGGAGGCAAAAATCAATAGGCGAGGGGAGAAACGAAGTGAGAAGTGACTTACAAAGAGAAGACCCTTCGCGGGTTCTTCACAGCCAGCCCTTCACAGCCAAGCCCTCCCTGCCTGGACTATTCCTGAGGCAGCGTGGCAGGTATGAATGTAACACCGCAGGGTGTCAGACATAGCGAGCACCTGGGCTGGGCAACTTGCAGACGAAATTTGCGTCCATCAGGAATGAAGGAATGAGGGATGGGACCAAGTGGCATAAGGGATAGGGGTCTGTGTCACCTCTGGCTTGGATGTGAAGACTCTGTAATGCTCTCATCATCCGTACAAGTGTCCACTTCAGTCTTAGGACATTCTCATCGTCCTGGGCATAGGTTTGGGGAATCGGCTTTTTAATTCTGGTAAGAATGGCACAAAGCTCTTAAGAAACTGAGACTGGCTTTCTGCTACCCAATGTTCTCCATATCCTTATTGAAATCTAAGTGACCCAAGTGCTGGGAAGCTTTATCGCTTCAAAGTGGATTATTTCTTCTACAGATTTGCCTGTACATAACCATCATATTTTACAAGTGACCTGTTCTCACCGAGTTGTGCTGCTTGGCAGCTAAATTTGCAGGATTGTTTCAAGTAATGATGAATTGTCTCCAGATGGGACACTTGCTCTTGCAGTCTGGATTTTGGTATTTTCACGAGGAAAAAAAGCATAGGAACTGCTCTTTCCCATGAGTAGGACAAATGTCCTGTCAAATCTGGGCTGGTTAATAAGAGCTCCAGTTTGTCCTTGAGGAGGGGGAGGGATGAATTATCACGTCCCTGACTGCTCACAAGGCACTCCTTAGGGAAAAAAAACCCCAAACAAAACAGCAAAATGCAGCACCTTTCAAACCCACTCAGACCCCTTGAAAGGACAGGTAGATACAGATCCCTGCATTAAGTTGCTTCGAATGACAGCAGCTCTGCCTCCTCTTGTGTACAGCCAGCTGCTGCCAATCAGCCACCTAGTTCTGCCAGCATTTTCCTCCCTTTCCTGGCTCTGTGTGATTCAGGGACTTCTGGAGGGCTTCTTGGTTTGTTTGGGTTTTTTCTTCTTGTATTTTTTCAGCTTTATTACTGAGAACATCACTTGTACCAAATATTAACAAAACTTCATTTCAAGCTGCTGGGTCCGCTCTGTGACATCCTCTGGCAGCCTGCAAAAAATCAACAGGGAAGTTACATGAGATTTGGCATCATCACTGCAACTATTGTGAAGGCTCAGTTAAGCCCTCCAGGACATGAATGCAGGCCAGATTTTCAGGAAGTTGCAATATGTTCCTGGACAGCATGATCAGCAGTGATTGATTTCTGCATTTACAAATGTGTTTATTATTTTACATTAGCTCGAATTGGACAATAAGAGACCTCCAGAGAAATGAGAAAGACCATTGCTTTGCTGTTTAGATCAGAAATGTTTTCTGTATTGCTGCAAAGGGAAGAAAATTTTACTAAGCTCACACAACATCTTGGGCAGGACCTTTCGGCATGTAAAATACTGGCTAATTTAAAGGTGACAGCTGAAGACTACAGTGAGAGAAATCAGAAATGCAAACATAGTCATCTTATTTCTTACAATTCATGTTTCTTTTGATACTTATGCTAAAAAAAGAAACCGTTTTGATCTGCACAAAGCCTCATATGTTAAAACAGACTAAGATTAACTGGGATGCCTAATTAAAACAGGCACTCACCAATTAAGATAATAAAAAACTGCTATTTGAAATACAAAAGAGACCAAGAAGTTAAAGAGACACTTATCCAAGAGCTTAGCAGGTTTTCATTTGAAGATACTTAAGGCAAAAAAAAAAAAAAGGTGAAGACGCACTCTGGAACGCAGCCCAGTAAAATCAGAGCGAAGTCTGCGAGCTCCTGTGAGCTTCATTACCAAAGGGCCTGCTGCTCGCCAGCCCCTTTGCTTTTGCACTCCATCTGCCATGTCTTGTATGCACTGAGAGCCAGGCTCTGCTGCCATCCCTTGTGCTGACAGCTCCCCTCAGGTGTCCCCAGCAGCCCCGCTCCGACCACCTGAACAGTGCAGGACCTGTGCCAGCTCCGGGCTTTCCTTGGGACTGGGACGGCATTTCACTGGCATTCACTCAACACGGCTTTCTCTCCCTCCTGGAAGCTTTATGCAATGCAGCAGCAATATCATTGTGTGTTTTATTATTATTAACAATAATAACAATAATAATTAGTTTTAAGAATTGATGTAAATTCTCCAACCTGAAGTTTCTTCCACATTTATTTGCACCACCTGAAGCTGAGTCAGTCTCCTCTGCCTGCTGTTCCTAAGGGAATCAGCTCAGAGGAGAACATATGTACGTTCAGGTACATGAGCATATGTACCAGCCTGTGAGTTTGAGTGTGCTGGGTTAACCTTTGCTGGCTGCCAGATGCCCACCCAGATGCTTTCTCATTTTCCCTCCTGAGCAGGACAGGGGGACAAAGGCAGATTTAAAGAAAACCTTGTGAATCTTCCTGATCAGTCCTTGGCTCTGGAGCTGGTGAATCATGGAAGGCAAACAGGGAGCCTTGGGGGGATGTGTATTGCCATCATGGCATCCATGGTTGCCTGCTCTCCTCTGATGTGCAGAAATCCCACTACACAGGGATCCTCCAGGAGGCTGGGCAAGGCAAACAGATGTTTCAACTTCTCTGAATCAATGGCAACTGCATCAAAAGCCCATCAATGCCTTTTTGGGTCCTTGAAGTACCCTCTCCTGAGACAGTCTATGCCAAGGATACACACGGCTTCTGAGCTGGTCACAACAATGTACTTTTGCCATTTGTCTCCTGTTAAGCTCACCTCAGCCCCCAGTACAGACAGCTTTTGTGATCTCCCTGTTAATCCAGAAATCCAGATGGGTTCCTCTCTGACACGCCATAATGGCATTAGGGTACGCTGTGCACCAGTGTCTGGCAACACTTTACACTTCCATGGATCCAGTGTGCCAGGCCATCAAATCCACACAGCCCAGTAAAGCTGGTCACCCCTCTCCTTCTCCTGACCGAAGGCAGTGACCCTCTATTCTAGGCTGGAGACCCTTGCAGTGTCAGACCAAAAGTCCCTTTACCAAAATCAAGAGAGGCACTCTTAATCCTCTTCTATGCCAGGGAGACTGCTGGTTGCCTTCCACCATCTCAACAGCAGCTGAACTGACAGCACTCGTGGATGGCCCTCCTCATCATCTCTCTTCCCAGCCAATCTGTGTACATGGGCTCCTAACTCGGAGGAGGGTCACCATCCCACTTCCTTGTGAGGTCACTCAGGAGGAACCAGAGTGGCACACAGCGTGTGTCTGAGTGCCCCTGATGGCCAAGGCCCGGACCTGTGGGGACACGAGAGAGACAGGTTTCCTGCAAAAGTCAGAGTCAGTGGGATGCTCTCTTCACAGCTCATATATTCAAGCCTGGTCAGTCCATTGTCTCCAGGCAGATGGAATATAATGCTGGTGAATTTCAGACAACCCTTCTGCACTTTCTCATGTACAGTGGCCATCTGCATCTTTGGAGACATGGTTGTCATCCAGGTCACCGTAGGGACTTTCCAGCACTGCTAGTAGTCTCACATACTGGATGCCCTCTTCAGTGCTAGTGGCAGCAATCTGCTTGCCAGACTGGTGGCTGTAATGTTTCAGCATATTTTGAAGTCTGCCCAAGTTTCAGAGCTGGTCATTTCTCTCACTTCCTCCTCTTTTTGCCTTGCTGAAGGACCAGCTGCCTGATCAGACCCTTCCTCCTCCTGCTCCTGTACTAATTGCTGGTATGGACCCATTTACCTCTGCATCCAGTGATTCTTTTTGACTGCTAAGTGTTGCCACATGTGGTTTAGATCCCTGTCTCGACCACGTTTCCCTGATGGTGCTGAAGGGAGGCTCAAGAAGCACAAGGAAAGCCCCAGTGTAGTGCCAAGAGCTGCTGGGTTTCACTGGAGCAGGCAAGGCACCCTTTCACCAAGTGCCAGCTCAACATGCCTGTAGAGGTGCAAGATCACAGGCTATGTGAGGGGATAACGCCGCCAGGCAGCCACCAAGTCCTGCCACACACCATGCAGGCACCCAGGGATCGGTGGCCCAAAGCCTTGTCACCTCACTGGCAAACTGGTTCCCTGTAACACCAGACCAAAAGTAGTTTCTATGCAAATGACAAGAAGATGACATTAGTCAAGCAGCCTAGATAAGGATGTGGTGAGGAGCTCTGGAGGGGAAGGCAGGCACATCAGTCCCGGAGGGGAAGAGAGAGGTGCGATCCCGCAGCTCTCCACGGGACAGCCCTCCTGGCACAGAAGCAGTGCCCGTGCCAGGGCCAAGGCAGGGCTGTGCTTTATCAGAATGCTCCCAGGCATGGTGAAACCCAGAGATAAGCACTGCAGCAGGAGGAGCTGAAAGCAGCCACTGCTGAGCCCGAGGCTCTGTTACACTGTAAATCAAGCGAGCCCTGTGTGCCATGCAGAGCCCTGCCAGTTATCACCTACGGCAGCTACAGTACACCCAGATCAAAACTGGATTTATCTCGTGCCCAAGGAAAAGGACTGGTGGGTTGATCTTGGCTGGTTCCCAGACACCCACCTGGATGCTTTCTCACCTCCTCTCCTCAATTGGACAAAATAAGGTTAAAAAACACCTCAAGGGTCAAAGACAGCTTAATAAAAAAAGCAAAAGCTGTGCATGTGACCAAAGCAGAAAGAGGAATTAATTCCCCGCTTCCCATCAGCAGGCAGATGTCCAACTGTAGCCTGGGAAGGAGAGCCTCAGCTCATGTAATGGTAACTTGGGAAGACAAACACCATAATCCTGCTTTCCCTGAGCTTCTATTAAAAGAGAGGTGCAGCCTCTCCTTTGTGTGCTGTTTGCTCTGAGGGCTGGGAAGTGGGATCTGCTGAGCCCTCGGCAGGGACCATGCAGTGAAGGTGTATCTTACTCCATGTGAGTGCTGGGGGCAGGGGTGTGCCTCTGCAGCCCAGAAGGTCTCTGCTGGAAGGAGATTTAGCAACAGAGAGTACCTGACTCTTGCACTGGGCCACATGAACACTTCACCCCTGGGGAAATGTTCCCTGCAGAGCTGGTGGCCGGCACCTTGTAGCATGGCTGAGGCAACCTCTGTGCCTGGGCTGGTTTGCTCAGCTCTCCAGTTGCTCTTGAAGGACTCTTCTGGTATTTATGTCCAAGTCCAGAGCTCATATAATCCCCAGACAGACTTTCCTGTTCACGTCAGCTAACTAGGTGGAGGTGTGTCATGGATCATACCCAGGACTGCTGCACATAGATCAGGCACTGCAAATGATGTGGATCTGCATATGCCAGGATGTTCCACAACTCTGTTCAGGAACTGTATCTTGAAGGAAAAGAGGCACATCTGTATCCTTTCCATATTTCCAGCCCTGACTGGCAAGAGCTGCTTGCAAAAGCAGTCCCACAGTCTGGAGGGAATCAGGCAGCATGGGATGAGGCAGAATTTGTCCCTTGAGGCCTAAGAGCACCAGAGGAGTTGCTGGTGAATCCTGAGCAGTGAGACAGCAGGAATGCATTCCTTCTGGAAACACTGCTGCAAGTGCACTGCATAAAGCTTGCTGAGCTTTCCCTCCAGGTTGCCATGAGGGGTAAATGTCGGTGTTTAATGCAGGCAGCTACTTAGCTGGGGACTAGGGTAGGAGAAGTGTCAAGGGTCTGTGCTGGGAGCTCTGCTCCTGGGAAAGCAGCCAGAGATGCTGGAGGAAATGAATCACCAGTGGCAGCTCTGGGACTGCAGACTAGATGAGTTTAATGCAGTGTGAAAACAGAACAAGGCTGATCCCTGCACAGGGTTTGGTAACAAACCCATGATAATCTGTGCTTTTTGAGGTACAGCATGCATTTTTCAGGTGGCTGTTGAGTGTTTAATTTGTTTTTATAAAGGTTGCTCTACATGGAATTGGGGTTTGAGTCTGTGTAATTGATTTCAGAAGTTAAGCAGTATAAAGAAGGGGGTGTCCTGTCATTTCCACTGGACTGTGGGACTAGATTTCCACATGGACAACATTCCTGGACGCATTTTCAAAGCACCCAGGAGCTTGAGCTCTTCTGAAAATTTTCCCAGCTTTATTTTGCAGCCCATGTGGGATACAAACTTTTCGAAAGATTTGCTCCAGAGAACAACTTCTGGTTTTCAGTGGTTTAATTTAGCCACATCCTTTTTCTTCATGAATATTGCAGGAAGATTTCTGTGACAACCACAAACAAAAACCCAGAAATTCAGCATCTTGACAATCTGTGTGCTGAAGCCTCTGCTTCACTCTCACAAAGTGTGCTGGATCTGTGGCACACAATTTCTCCCACCTTCAGCTGAGTCACCTCATAATGGTGGCAGAAGGCTAAAACACCAAATTCTGGCAAGAAGGTGACAAGGGCTACTTACTGCGACATCCAAAAAGATGCTTGAATATAGGCAGGATAATGTGTTTTTTCCCTCCAATCTCAAAGGACAGGCTGAAACAGCTCTGCTGAACTTTTTGAAAGCTGGGGTGTGGTGTGGAAATATTCAGCAGCTGCAGTTAAAAAGCCCTGGAACCCACAACTGTGGTGTGGACTGAGTAGAGGACATGTGGACTTGTCAGGGGCATTGGAGTAGATGATCTTTAAAGGTCCCTTCTAATCCAAACCATTCTGAGTCTGTGCTTGTACTGTGGACAGTGTAGGGTGACCCTAAGTTTTGGTTCCTGACGTTAAAGTATGGCCAGATTTTCCAAGGGATCGACACCATTGGGGTTCAGCAGAGGAGAGAAGTTCAGACGGGTGTCACGTTGCAGGTGTGCCATGTGCAATAGGTGACATTGCTAATGTCTCCGCGCCCGTTTCTCCATGCGGATTGCCGCGGGCTGTCCTGCCCTCTAGCGCCTGCAGCGCCCGCTCCCCCGGCCTCCCTCCGCTCCCCCGTGCCCACCTCACTCACTCGATGGATGATGCTGCGGCTCCGAGCAGGGAGCAGGAACTGGAAACCCCCGTGGCCTCCCCTGTGCCATGATGAGTGCAGAGCCAAACGGGAGGAGAAGTCCTGTGAGAAAGTGAAAGGCTTCTTATCAAATCCACAGAGGAGGCAGACTTCTTATCAAACACAAAGTCCAAACTGTTTCCTTCCAGCTGACATATCCAGAAGTGCAAGTTTCCTCAATGCTTAAAAGAACCTGCAGCTGACAACTTCTGCAGCAGCCAGACATCCTGTAGCACCCGTGCCTGGCTGTGCAGCCCCACATGCAGTCAGGGCTGCGTGCCAGACCCATAGCTGGGGAGCAGCAACCCCCTGGAAGCCAAGACCTACATCCAACCACATACCTGCCTTTCTGTGCCTCCTCAGCTCTGGGGTGATGGATCAACAGTCTCTTTTTCTAAAGCCTCTCGAAGGTCTGAATGACTTTTCGGTTTTGGACTTAGTGGTGGCAGCACATAGGTTTCTGAAGAGGATGTCCCTATCCCTCTCCATGTTCCTATCCCCTGGCTTCATGAATTTCTGGCTTAGAGTGTTCTGCTTTATCTACATGTCTCTGAATACTTTGTAACACTCTCAAAGAGCCTCTAACTGGTGATGATGGGAAAACAGCCTTGCTAGTCACTCCATTTTGTCCAGGGCAGATCCTACTGGTGGCTGCCCTGAAAAAGAACAGCGTAGGAACAGGGCAGAGGCTGCAGTGCCTCAGCTAGCACAGTCACGGTGCTGTGGGACAGGCACTGACACGGGGCCTCCACAGCTGCTGGGGGTGAGCTCGGGCACATGGAGACCACCACCGTGTTTTGCTCTTCAGGAACAGTAGCTGTGGGGGCTGGCTGGGAGTGCTTTGAAAGCCCCACAGCACAACCATAGGCATTGGGAAGCCTCCAGTGACATCTCCTGATGTCACCTCATCTATGCCAGTACATGGACTTCTGCAATGCTGCCTTTCAGTCAAGACCTTGTAATTCAAGGTCTCATAATTATAAATAACCCCACACTCAGCTGCAGATGGGGATTTCTGAAAGATACAGAGAGCACACACATGCCCCTTTCTGAAGGAAGTGGTGTCACTCTAAGTTTAATTGAGACTTGCTCAAATCAAGAAGCAGAGGCCACTGCACCATCAACTAACGTGACATTTTGTTTGTGTTCCCACAGGGTGGCTGACAAGCTGCCGAGACCAAACCTCGTCTTGCTCAAGCTCTTGCTCTCTCTGCTCCACCACATCAGCCAAAATGCTGAGAGCAACAGGATGGACTCCAGCAACCTGGCCATCTGCATTGGCCCAAATCTGCTGAGCCCAGGCACGGACAGCACGCTCCCGCTGGAAGTGCAGAAGGAGATGAACGACAAGGTGCACTGGGCTCACCGAGCAGCCGTTCCCTCGGGGCAATTGAGAGCCATCCATAGGGATCCATCCACTGCCATGGCAGCAGCTGAACACAGCAGCACTCCTGGGCCTTGCGGGTGCTGAGCAAAGCAGCAGCTGCCCTGCAGTCCCCACAGTCACAGCACAGCTCCTGCAGCCTTTGCATGTGGAGGGCCAGGGGCACCCGTGGCCATTGTCACCCCTGGGCCCTCGGGCAGCGAGGCCAAAGCTGTGGCTGATGGTGTTTTGTCTGTATTGTTTGCAGCATCGGGCCTTATTCCCCGTGGGGGACTCACCCTTAGATCTCAAGCCAGGATTTTGGCAGAAGCCACTGTGCTCTGTGCTGTCCTTCCTACAAAGATAGCTGGCAGGGTGGGGAAAGAATTTTCAATCTGTCTTGACTGAAATGGGCTGTTTTGTGTGTGCAGGTGACAGTGCTGGTGGAGTTCCTCATAAACAACTGCATGGAAATATTTGAGGGGGACATTGCCTTCCCTGCCTGTGCCTTGGCTGAGGAGTCACCAGAGCACACAGACAGCTCCACAGGTATGAGAAGAGGGACTGGGGATGTGACTAACTGGGCCAAATTATTGAATTTGATATGTGAATATATCTGTGGAAACACAGAGAGTTGCTGACAGTTCAATGTGTTAATAAAGTGTTTTTCTACAGGAATGCCTTCCAGAAGTTCAAAATTACAACACTCACAATCCAGACTTAAATCCCAATGTTAAACATCTGATTCAAGTACAATTTTTTACAGATATGCTGAGATTTCAAGAACCTTTCTGGCAGGCTTAAAGGAGAGGATCATTCTCCCAACCTAACAGATCTAGAGGTCTTTATTTTGTCACTGCTTCTCAGGAGGAATCGGCTATGAAAAGAAAGACACATTTTCAGTATAGCTGATATCCTATCTTTGTCCTTTTTTGCACTTGCCTTATCAAAGTTAACTGCTTCAAGAACTGTTTGTTCTTCAAGGTGAGATGAAACTTGAAAGTTTCAATGCTGGCTCCAGAAATCTGTGATGTGAAATGTCCTCTCAAGAACCATTTTCAGAAGAGCAGAACACATTACAGAGAATGTGACATTACAACATGCACAGATGCCTCATATATGATTTTAGTGGTGTTTTAAGTTTTGGGTTTTGTTTCATTTCACTGTTCATTTATTGGATAATGCTTACCTTACTGAATTGTCAAGTTTAGAAATCACAGCAAAGTCCTGCACTTTTGCTTTTTAGAGCTGAATTCAGAAGAGCAGCAAGTGAGGTACGCACAGGGAGTGAGAAGGTGCTTTTCTGAAGAGATAACCCTGTCCATTTTTCACCCAAGAAGAAAGAAGAGTACATGTGGACATGCAAATAGGAAAAGGAGAGGTGCAAATTCCCCAGCCACTGTCAAAACAAGTCTCCTGTATGAACAAAGCTTCTGATGTAAAACTGGGCCAAAATGAGAAAGGAACTTCTCCTCACAGAAGGTATTGAAACAAAAAAGTCTTCAATTTACACCATGAGGTTAAGTGCAAAATTAAGGAAGATGTGTCTCCATGTGCACTGGTTCTGCTGCTTTCAGCTAAGAACTATGTCACTGAGAAATGCTGTCCTGTACAAAAGGTGTCCAGCCCCAGAAGGGACTGGGAAGACAGAAATAGGGTCCAGATAAGTGCTCAGCTTCTCCCTGGCAGTCCCCACAGGGGCTGTGGGAGGCTATGTGGTGTCTCAGTCCAGCCCTCTCACCACTTGACCCCCAGCAGCACTCATGATCCTCCCTGCCAGCTGCTGAATTGTTGCCATGCTCATTGATTCAGAAGGCCTGTGAGATCTGGAACACTTACAAGGCTCTATGCAGCTAACAGTAACAAAGATCAGGTGTTTATCAACTGCTTTTCAGGCACACTACATATTTTGGTCCTTCCTTGGTTCCACTGTTTCCCACCAACAAAAGATCCCATGCTATGTACAGATCTGCTTAGTGTTTGCTCCTGGCACGGAGCATGGTCACCATGTGGTTTTGTCAGAAAGAAATACACTTTGGGAAATACATCTTTGTCAAAAATACTTCATTTGGGATGAGCCATTCAAACTCCTACACAACCTTTAAAAAGGTTTGAAATTACTATCTGTCGCCACCAGATGTCACTGATAACACTAAGCAAAGCACCTTTACCTGTGATTGAGCCTTCCCTCAAAGGCAGGCTTGCACACCCACATATTTGTTGCCCACAGTCTGCACCATGGCCGTGGGTGGTTGACGTAGCAGACATTACTTTAGCATTTGTCATGCAGAGGTTATTCAGTGTAAAGCTCTTTCTGGCATCCATGCTGCTTATCACACACTTTGGGTTGTATAATATTTCTCTCCAGATCTCCCCAGTCTTAGGGACTGGGCTTCCCTAAATGTACAGCTGTGGCAGTGACCAGGAGACCAGTGCCAGGCTTACTGATGCAACCTGGCAAGGTACCAAAAAACAAGTTTTCCATAGTTTAGGGTAAAAATCAAAAACCTGAAAACTGAAATGGTAATAAAATTCTATCATTGGGCTTGGACCAAAATGGTTCTAATGGGCAACAGAGGATTAGGATAATCTTTAGTGAGACAATCAAGGAGATTGATGTGGCTGCTACTGCAGGGTTGCCAGCAGCCACACTCTCCACTTTGCCCAAGGCAAATGGAACAGACAGACCCAGCTAGGATGGGCCTGGGGGCTGACAGGGAGCTGAGAAATTACCAACAGCAAAGCTATCAGCACATCTGCCTCTTCAGCCCTGACAGTCTCACACAGGCGCCTCAGCAGGCAATGGAGCAAAGGCTACTGTTCCTAAAGGTCATCCGAGTGTTGTCTGCCACATGTGCTGACCTAGCAGGGTAGATCCCAGTCTGAGTGGAATATCAGGAATGACACCATTCAAGGACTTGAGCCACACCCCATACCCTCAAAAGGGTCCACTGGACCTCCCTGGACCACCTAGATATGTGACCTCAAAGGCAGCCCTGCCTTCCACCCATCCTAGGCTAGAACTGCTCAGTGATAATCAGGGCAGATGTTGCTTGGATGGAAAAGCTCCCTTGGAAGGTGTCACCCTCTCTGTGGGTGGCTAAAAATCAGAAAAAAGCTGTGAGATATAACCACCAACAAATCCACTTGGTGGTTAGAGGATCAACACGGTTTGAATGTGTTAAATTGAATGTCTGAAGTCAAATGGTTTGAGGTCAAAATTAGGCTAGCATGTTCTAAAGGTGAACTGTTCCTCTGTAAAATCTGGGGTTTACGTCACAGTAATTCAACATACTGTGCTCTATGTTTCATTTATCATTAATTCCTACAAGTATCCTAATAGATGTCACCTCTCTGGAACTAAAATCGTCCATGCTCACCCCACCTGCTTGCTAGTATTTGAGAACAATTGCTCTGTTTCTTTTGGTGACACACTAGATGGGAATCAAAGGCTGGCTGTGAAAATTTGGTTTAGATGTTGAAGTAATGGGACAAGGGCTTTACAATGGTTTTGTTTTCATGAGAATGGCGACTCTTATCATGACTTCATATAAATCAGTCTTATTATGGCTTATTTTATCTGATTTAAAATAAATAAAAAGGACATTAAGGCGTGGCATGTGAGAACTGTAAATATGTTAGCTTCATTAGTGGAATATTAAATATCAGTTTAGGGATGACTCATTACTGGATGTCCTCTCATACCTTTACAAGAGACTTAGCATCACTAGGAGGATTGGTGTGGATATTTGCAAAAAGATTCAAGCCACTGAATGCTAACTTTAATATTTATTTTAGGAATTATCCAAGGAACAATTGTCAACTGGAAGATTTTAATTTCTGTCATTTCTACCTTGTATTTTATTGGCTGAAAAATTTAATTAGAGAATGTTGAGTTGTAGTATTTAAATTATCTGTGATGTTATTTTTATTCTTAAATTGTTGTAAGAAAAAGTAATTATTTATACCAATTGCAATAATTCAGTAAAATTGGTTTATGAAAGGTCAAGAACACTCTGAAGAGAAATTCCAAAGTATGCACATCACTGCAAATCTTCACATAACATTAAAAGTGTTGTTCAGAGAGTCCCTGTCCTCACCTACCTGAAGTGACATGAACAACTCACAAGTAGAGAAAAGAAAGCAAAGTTTGGTTATATCTATAAAGACAGGCTCATGACTTCATATCACTTTTTCTTTTTTAAATGTAGAGTGTGAAGAGTTTGTTTGGATTTTTATGTTGTGGAAATTGTCAAGAGACTACAAGGTCAGCCTAAGGTGGTTCAGCTAATGTTGCTTGGGATTTAACCCCCACCTGCTGTATTATGGGTGGAGGGCACTTGTGAAAAGTTTTGTGAAAACTTCCATGTATTTTTCCTCTAGCATCATTCATATGAGTGCCATTTTTACATCACTAGAATTTACAAATACATCCAAGCCTGTAAATAATACCCACACTTCAAAATTTGTATTTAAGAAAAAAAAAAAAGTGGCATGAAAATATTACTACAATTTATTGCAAGGTAAAAATTACCTTGCAATAAATTTGGAGAATATATTAGAATAGGAGAGCCAATTCTCTTAACCCTAAAATATGGTGCAATCTGTGTTCTTTTGTCAACAGCTAATGGTTGTGTTTGATAAAAAACCTCATAAATCTGTTTCCATACCCCCTAAATGAAATATTTATTTAATGATAACAGCAGCATGGGCACCAGGAATGCTTATTTGATGAAAAATATTTCTTCACATGGATAAGGTGTACCTAAGTTTAAAAGAAAAATATTATAATGGCCATTCCCAAGACACCTTTTGCAAGTGACTCTTGGTGAAAGGACACGACTGGGCTCTGCAGTCAGCCTGGCAGTCACATTGCTTCAGCTGAGTAGTGGGAATTATTTAAGTTTGCTCTAACTTAAAGATAGCAGTGGCAACAGAATTTACTTAGGAGCCAGACAGGCTCCTATGCCAATAAAATTGCACTGCACTGACCCAGAGAGGGCATCTTGCTAGTAGACAGATCAGTGGTTGGGCAGGTTCTGCTGCATTTCCTTCCACCTGCCCCAAAACATTTGCACAGAGCAGCGTTAGAGTCGTGCAGCAGGGACAAGCTGACAAGTGGGGAGAGAGCTGGGAGTGCCAAAGGGTGCAGGAGTTGTGCCTGACAGGTGACAGCTGGGCTCTCTGCTGGGCAGCACAGGCAAGCGAATGTCCTGAGGCTGGAGAAGTGAGGTTACTCCAGGGTGACCAACCTTGGAAGCTGCCTGCCCAAACCCTCACATGGCCAAAGGTTAAGGAAGAAGAGAAAGCTCCAGCATGGGTTTACCTGATCCCCATGCTCTCCATGGGGATGGGGAGCCACCTCTGCCAACATTCTTCTTCTTACAGCACAGTGCTTGTGCCTGAGGTCCCCTGGCAGATTTTACACACCAAACGAAGAACAAAAATATAATTTACTAAAATGTAAAAATTACAAATCCAAATTAATGTATTTTCATGTATATAACTGCCCAAATAATTGGCACTGTCCAGGTCTGGTTAGTGGAAAACCCAGATTGAATGAAAATGTTACATATGTGCCTGTAAATCAGCACTGTCTGGAGACATATCAGTGAATAAAGATAAGTCTTTCTTCTGGAAAATTTAAAAAAAATTAATATCTTTTTTTCCTTATGCCTGTGTGGCACCACCTCTGTACCTTTAGGCAATTTGATTTCCTCTTCCAAAGAGTGTCAGCTACTGCCCCACTCCGAGAAAACATTGCTGCTCTCCAAACGCTATTGAGACACAAGATCTCCTGCCATCCCAGTCATGGGTGACTTGCAGTCCCTACAGAAGTGATGAACTGCTCCATGGGATCAACCTACACCCTGTACCTGGGCTGCAGGAGCTGCCCAGCCTTGCAGACAATATAGGACTTTAGTAGTGTCTGTGGGAATGGACTGGATGAACTGAAGGAAAACTAAAAGGGAATCTAAGTCACGAGCTGAAACTCACAGGACTCAGGAGAGCTCTCCCCTAGTACTCTGAGAACTTTGCATGAGCTTAAGAGGTGCCACAGCAGCGTGGGACTTGAGACTGCAAAACCCATCAGCCACAGGGATGCAGTGCCAGTGCCCCTGACCTCTCCATTCTTCCTGTGTGACTTCAGACTTGGGACTTTTGGACACCTACTACCAGTCTGAGGTTCATTAAAAAGTTACTGGGAAGTACCGAGGGTTGCCATGGAAGTGCAGACAATGTGGTATAAATGTATGTTGAGTGTGGGGTGGGTGGAATAATTGTTCTGCAACCCTTTTCTTGGGCTGAAGCCCAATCCCTGTTGCTGGTTCTGTGGGACTGAGCTCCTTATTCCACCCCTTCCAGGCCTGTGTCCTCCAGCTAAAGAATAAATTTAGTTTTACTGTCTTTATTTACAGAATATGCTAACTCACTTC